GCAATAAATGGCAGGACTTTCTAACTTTTTATGGGTATATGAGAGACAAATTGCACTGGATAAATGGATACCTAATAGTAAGTTACTTTAGGAAACTTTCAAAAACTGTTCTCTTATAGGATTTCTCCAGAAACTTTATACAATCTTTCATGTTATCAAGTAAAATATGCAATGTTTGCATCCCTTAAAGCAAATGATATTAAATATAAAGAACTCTATTAACAAAAACATACAGACAATGGATGTTTAGGTGGGTTACCGTTAATCCTTTATGTAATATAATTCTTGCATAAAAGGCATAACTCCTCACAATGTGGTATGCATTTAGTTTAATAAAATAAATTAGACAATTGTTACCCAGTTATAAATCTAGTGGGAAGTAATCATTGATAATTATAATTCTTCAATATTTAATGTCTAAGTCATTAGAGTTTTTAAATGTTAATCGTATATTAATTATAGATTTTTAATATTTTAAAGTATTTCAAACTAATTCACGTAATGAGTTGCGCCTTTTACTGGTTTGTGAGCATTAGTTGAATGTTAAAAACATATTATTTCTGAATAGGTTAGCTCATAGGGGGCCTGGACTTGGCTCCCAAACGGATAATTTGCTATTAAATTATTTAATATTTATTCCATTGCCTGACCTATTGTTCTCACATATTAGATATAATAATATATTGATATTAGAAATCAAATATTCTGTTCATTGGATTATTGATGTATGTTTCGCTATTGTTTTGTAAAAAACAATATTATATTTTAATAATTTAATAATCAAAAGTTCTTTATTTAATCAATGCTATGACATTTAGCTAGGACAAAGCTTTTCAAAGATTACACTGTATAATTTATATAATAGTTTTGGAATTTAANAAACAATATTATATTTTAATAATTTAATAATCAAAAGTTCTTTATTTAATCAATGCTATGACATTTAGCTAGGACAAAGCTTTTCAAAGATTACACTGTATAATTTATATAATAGTTTTGGAATTTAAAATTTTTATTTATACAAGATTATACCGATGTATTAAGAAGTACTGCATGTTTAAATATTTATTATATATATAATTGTTTATATATATAAAATCTGAATACACATGATATAGAATTACTTAAACTTTTCCAAGAATTTAAGTATATATTGAATCATCTCTTTATTCTTAAAATATTTTAATGATTTCATTGGAATTTATTTTGTTTTATCTCTAAAACATTATACAGTAAATATGATCCATTTTTGAGTAATTTAACAAATAGTTCAACCAAAACAGTTTCAGTGAACTATATTCAGATATAAAAGTTTTTTAAAAATAAGAAAATATAAAGTTTGTCTGATTATAAAATTTAAAAAAAAAGATATTCTTATGAATGATACCCAATTGATAATAACTAAACAAATAACCCATAAACTTCTATCTCTAGGATTTATCCAACAAATATCAATTCCTATGTTGACAACGGTTAACAAATAAGAGTCAATTACGGTATATCGAGAAACTAATTTTGGCAATTTTTGGATATATCAATAGTACTCATATGTGTAATCTCTACGACAACTATAAAAAGAGTCCACAATATATAAAAGTAATGGTAATTTTATCATTTCTAATACAATCAAAGTAATAAATATAATTCATTCAAATGTGTTCAAATGTCGCTTATTTTATTTGTTTACAATTCATGCAATAGTTTTAATAAATATTTTTAAAACATTCAAATTCTTTATTTGAAAAGAAGTAAGTTATAAATAAATATATGAATTTTATAAAAGAATTTACATGTATGTTTTTTTTGCAGTTATATAGATACATTGTCTAATAGTAAGCTATATCTAAAAATTCATTATTTTTTGTAAATTTGTGAAAAATCAAACACAAGATTAGTCACTACTTATTACAATATTTATCCACCAACTTCACTGAAACATTTTCAAATATACTTTAATCACTTGGGCAGATTTTAACCATCATTTAAATGTAAAAAATATGCAAACTGTTACAAAGCAACCGTTGGTCACTCTATTAGACACACAATACTGTAATCATAATAATGAGCGGAATATAGTATGGAGGGGAAAGTGATGCAGAATTAATGAATGGATTGCTTGAATAGGTATGGCTTCTAATAAATAGATGTTTCGATACACTATAAGTGGTTTCACTGAAATCAGTCACATTACACGTATAGACACCCGAATCGATATGACTGGCATTCACTATAGTCAGGGAACGGCTGACCGTTTCAAACACTCCTCCAGACGTCTGTTTGGTTATCGATTCCAGGAATGACTCCGTCTTTCTGCTGAACTGTCGGACAGAAAAAAATTAATCAAAACATATACACCATTAAGACATAAAAGGATAATCACATCGTATGAGTCGTAATCCCACGAAATATCAATGAGAGAATTGCCTTCAATGTTCACTAAACACATGAGTGTTATATTGTCCCCAATTTGGGTGATATTCGGCCAAACATTGATTACCGGATACAGTCTTATGTGGTTCTGTTCTGTCCATTCGTAGTATTATCATTAGGATTATTACGATAATAGATATTAATAATAGGACTATTAATATATTATGTTATAAAGGTTAATTAAAAGCTAAGAATATAATTAGGGAAACGGTATATGAATACAATAAGTTATTCTGTAACTATACTGTATATTATATACAGTGTATATACAGATATATACTGTACAGATAAAAAGTAGCTTTTTGACAATAAATAAAATGTTGACTTATGTAACATAAGTTATATTTAAGCAATATTTACTTATATTATGTCAACCGTAACTGTGGATTCAAATGATGTATACAAAAATAGATACAATTTATACAGTACAGAATATTTAATTTAACACGATACAAGTATTTTATTTCAAGTAGAAATAAATAAATAATTTTTAAAGTTTATTATCATAAAAGTGATCACAAATGTAGCTAAACTTAAAAATGCATGAAATAAAAGACAGCATATAAAATTAACGATAAAAGTATGCAAAATAATTCAAAATATGAATATCTAACAAAATGCAAGGAATATTCTGTATACTTATTAATCTTATGCAAAACGTATCAGTAAATAAACTATTATTTTATTCACTTATCACCAGTGTGACCAACTGTACACTATTGGGGTGTACAGTACACTATTTAGGGTATTTGTACACTGTGTTTTAAGATCGAAATAGTGTACAATGAATGTACACTATTTGTGAAAATATATAGAAATACATATCAGTTTTGAGCAAACCTTTACAGAAACCATAATACCTTTCATTTCGAATTAAAAAATATGTTTGAAAATACAGTATTAGAGTGTTCAGTACATAGTATTTTATATACTGTGTTTTAAAAATAGTGTACATTCAATCTACATTGTAGTATTCATTCATATATTTGTTACGATTTTTATTAAATACTGTAATATATTACATTTATAATTTTATTGTTTAAATATTGTACATGCGGTACAACAGTTTGGAAAAATTAAAAATTTGCATAAATATGTTAAATATTGTAAATTGAATGTTAACTATTTAAAAATAAAATTATGTAATATAAAATATNCAAATAATTGTGTCTCTAATCTGACAATAAGAGACTTACAGTTTTGGCAAACGGGGAACTATTCGTGTTTTTATAATAAGTCTAAACAAGCATTTGATTCAATCTATGTGTTCATAAATGGTAAGCCTTTTCTGACATTAAATAAGCATTTCTATAAAATTCAATTCTTAGCGCAAAGAATTGTTTTATAAATAAAATAAATATTTCTGTGAATAACACTTGAATAACATTTAAAAAAGGCTTTAGGTTTTGAAAACTTATTTTTGGAAAGTCTACACTTTAGATAAAAAAGTTGAACACTTTTAAAGTTTAACAATTTGTTTGTTTTAGACCCAAATAACCTGATTGTGCCGATTGAAGGGAGCGATGAGTTCATAATAGTACCGGTGCTCGAGAATAGTACCAGTCTTGAGATCCCATGCAAGCCAACCAACTCGGCATCAGTAGTGACCCTCCATTCCTATGACTCCAAAATTGAGAACTTCGTGCAAATGTCCAACGATTTGCTCGCATATGACCCAACCCTGGGCTTCACAGTACATAACTTTCCTTTCAAGCAATATAATGCTCTCGACTGCAAAGTTAAGTCCGGTCTCAAGGAACAGTACATTGGAGTGACTGTCCATCAAATAAGTAAGTTTTATTGATAAGGGCTTTTATAGCATTTATTCTGCATCACAAATACAATTCTGTATAATTCTGTGACAATCTCACCAATGAATGTATTGAGACAAATCTCAAGGCATTGCTTTTACAGATAAAAGTAATCATTTGACATACCTAAGCTTTACGTCCATGATAAACTTATTTGTTTTATGAGTAGCTAACAATTAAGGATAATTAATAAAATAAATATTATTTTTATTAATGGCGACAATGAATATTTTATACATTCAAAATGCTACTATCTTACTATCTAACAGTAATTTTTATTATTTTAATTAGTTTATTTATTTTATAAATTAATTAATCAAACCAAATTTGTGTTTGCTTTTAATTAAAGGGAGTGGGAGGAGATTTTTAAAATTAATTGTTTATCAAAGTGAATGATGTGTTTATGGAAAGAGAAATAAAAATTTTGATAATAAATCCAAAATATGAATTTTAAGTCACATTTTGTAAGAACGAAAATTAATTGATTTCCATATTTTTACACCGAAAACCCACATAACAGTGCACTTTCACGACTTATTTCATGATAAGGCACTGGTGTGTAGAGAATTGGAGGGAAAGGCAGGTTTGACCCGTTGTTGTCGTCGTTTGACATTTAAGATTGAGTTCAACAGATCCTTTTCCTTCACAAATCTCTTTAGTGAAGTGAATGTGAAATGTATTTTTGCCTTCATTTTTGCCAACAACTCATTACTTTTCACTACAAGTGCTATCGTATTAGTATGTGATAAGTGAATAAAATAATAGTTTATTTACTGATACGTTTTGCATAAGATTAATAAGTATACAGAATATTCTTTGCATTTTGTTAGATATTCATATTTTGAATTATTTTGCATACTTTTATCGTTAATTTTATTTTATGCATTTTTAAGTTTAGCTACATTTGTGATCACTTTTATGATAATAAACTTAAAAAATTATTTATTTATTTCTACTTGAAATAAAATATCGTATTAAATTAAATATTCTGTACTGTATAAATTGTATCTATTTTTGTATACATCATTTGAATCCACAGTTACGGTTGACTTAATATAAGTAAATATTGCTTAAATATAACTTATGTTACATATGTCAACATTTTATTTATAGCTAAAATGCTATTTTTTAACTGTATATACACTGTATATAATATACAGTATAGTTACAGAATAACTTATTGTATTCATATACCGTTTCCCTAATTATATTCTTAGCTTTTAATTAACCTTTATAACATAATATATTAATAATCCTATTATTAATATCTATTATCGTAATAATCCTAATGATAATAATATGAATGGACAGAACAGAACCACATAAGACTGTATCCGGTAATCAATGTTTGGCCGAATATCACCCAAA